ATAGGGTCTCTGTCGGCTCAGTGTTATGGTGCGTCAGCGCTTTTGGTTGTCTCCTTCTCCACAGTTTTTCCTTTTATGGTTTTTATTAACCTTAATTGCTATTAATACTAATTGTTTGTGTATTCTTGAGGAGTGAATTTGTAATAAATAAATAAATAAATAAATAAATAAATAAAAATCGGAGCGCGAAATCCGAAGGTCTGTGGTTCGATTCTTCATGGAGACTCAGAATTTTTTCTTTGCCCCGCGCTTGTGACAAGACGAAGAAAAGGCATCTCTCGAAGAATGTAGTTGTTATTGATCTGCGAGTTGTCGGTGCGCCTTTATTCTGTTTGATGAAAAAATTGACTTTTTAAGATCTTTTTAGAAATCGCAAGCATGTTCTATCAACACTGACCTTACAGTAATCAAAGCTGGGTTTAGCTGACGTCGTTGTGTACCCAATGTGACATATCGACAAGCAACTGTCAAACTATGAATTTTTTGCATGAATAGAAAATTTATCTTCAACTTAATTGAATTTGTCTTGTATCAAACTGAGTCATATTGAGAGCTGTAGGACCTTACATGGACCAGACATAACGATATTTTAACAAAGGAAACATAACACTAATATGGTTGTCCACAGTAAGTGTCAAAGAATGATTCTGATAATGTTTTGTGGCTCTATAAGCACTGTTTAATGGCCATATTTCAATGGATAAACCGATCTTAAGCTGTTGGCTTGGCAGGTGATATGTGGAAATGGATCAATGACTATCTCTCCAACCGTGTGCAAGGGACTAGTGTAAATGGGTCCAGATCTGATAGAATCCCCATTAGAGCTGGGTCCCTCAGGGATCCTTACTAGGACCAAGACTGTTTGCATCTTATGTTAATGGCCTCCCTGAATCTATTACCAGTGGAGAAGGCTATATGTATGCTGACGACACCACAATATATGTAGTAGGGAATACTGTTGATGACATAACAACAGTGTTACAGGCTGTTTTGGACCAGGTTAATTCCTCAGTGGTGTCTTAGTAACAGACTGATTCTACATGATGGTAAATCCGAG